TGGGCCCTTTATAATAGATATATCCAGAAAAAAATGTACCAACGCTTATATTTATAGGAGAAGACCTGTGTGTGGCCAACAAAATGTTAACTTCATTATCATAACTGATAATCAGAATATCATTGTCTAGTAGGTGGGAAAGATTAGCAGGTACCCAAGTTAAATTTTTCATTTCTAATAAGGGAAAGGGTGTGAGGAGATGATATTGTTTCCCCTAGGAAACAATAAGGAGGATAATAACAATATAAAAACCATTTTGTGTACATTCAATCAATAACAATTAGGTGATATAAGAACAAGGTTTGAACAGTTTCAATTTGTGAGCATTCAGGCCTACTTGACGTCTTGTGGTAGCTGTCTGCTTCTGTGGTCGGCTTCTCATCCTTGAACAGTCTTTGTCAGGGGAGATGAAAGGCTTCTGAAATTTGGCTAGTTGAATTTTGATTATACCATTGGTACGTTCCACAAGTCCTGAAGACTGTGGTATAGGCTAAATATTACAGATGATTTTATTATTTGTTCAGTGAACTAAGTCCCTCGGTCACTATGTAATTCAGAGGGAATTCCCCAATTGGGGATTATATTTTCTAATAACAATTTACTATCTGTTAAGGCTGTTGCTCTCCTGCAAGGGAAGGCCTCAGCCCAGTGAGAAAACATACAAATCATAACTAATATATATATGTATCCCTGAAATGGTTGAATTTGGATAAAATCCAATTACCATACTGCAAATGGACCCAAAAGAAGTGGGCAATGTCCTTAGGATCCCTGGAGTGGTTTTCCTGGGTTATATTTTGGACAGAGAACATCTGCTATACACATTATGAGCGATAGCAGGAGAAGGCTTTCAGTAATATTGTTTACTCCCCGAGATAATCTTTTCAGGACCCCAATGTGTTAGCTCATGTACATGCTGAAGTATAGGGAGTTGGGCCCCTATAGGTAAAATAGGTTTCTGATTGGGTCCAAGCCATATCTGTCTCTCTGGGTCAAAGGTTCCCCCTTTTTGTTGCCATGTTCCCTTTTCTTCCTCTGTAGCTGAATGTTGATAGTGGAAAAGATAATCTTTTATTGATTTAATAGAAAGCAAAGAATATTCTGGCGTCTGGATAACTTGACTGTTCAATGCCGCCTGCTGAGCTGCAGCATCAGTGGAATGATTTCCTTTTGCTCCATGGTGGTAGCTTTAGAATGCCCTGGGTTTTGATAAGTGCCAATTGAATGGCATCTACAAATTCTGCAACCAGTTTTCCATTTTTAAAAAATGTACCTTTGTTGTTGAAAGTATCACAGATGTCCCCTACCCCAACCCCCTTAACCCCTTCCACCCACTTGCCATTTTTATGGGCTTTCCTGAGGAAGTTAAGAAGCCTCACTGCTTCCATAACATTCCAGAGTCCTGAGCTACATCAAATGCATAGCGACTGTCAGTGTAAATATTGGCTACTTGATCTTTGGCCAATTGACAAGCCCAAGTTAGAGCAGTTAATTGGGCTTGCTGAGCAGATCTTATTTCAGGTAGATAAGAACTTTCAGTTATGTCCACTGTGGAAGTTATTGCATATCCGACTCAGAAATGTCCCAGTTCATCCTTCAGATAAGATCTATCTGTGAACCAAATTAAGTCAGCATTGTCATTAGGAGTTCCCTGTAAATCATTCCTAGGAGCAAGAAGGTGTAAGTAAGCAAAACACACTTGTAGGTGTTTTCATCCTGTAAAGAGGGTAATAAAGCTGCAGAATTAAGATGATTACACTGAGTTAAAGTAATATTAGGTGCAGAGAGAAGGAGCATTTCATAAGAAGCCAGTCAACTGATAGAGAAGTGTTGGGTGTGATGAGAGTCCAGTAAAGATTCAACAGAACGAGGAACATGAATGGTTAAAGGAGAGACATGGCTGGAGCAGAGATCACCCTCACACAGGGAGGGAGTCCTTTGCTACTGGGTCTAGTTGCTGACTGTAATAGCCTATAGGTCTATGATGAGCTCCACGTTTCTGAGTTAGAACTCCTAAGGCATTTCCTTTACTTTCGTGTGTGAAAAGGAAGAAGGGACGTTTATAATTTGGATGTCCCAGAGCAGGAGCTTTAACAGTACTTCCTTTAGAGCAGGGGTGGGGAACGTTTTTTCTGCCAAGGGTCATTTGGATATTTATAACATCATTCTCGGGCCATACAAAATTATCAACTTAAAAACTAGCCTGCTATATTTGGTCAGACATTTAATTAACTCATCCCGAATCCCTTGACAGGGCCACATCAAATAATTCCTTATATGGCCCACAGGCATGACATTCCTCATACTTGCTTTAGAGCAAGCATGTCAAACTCAAAGGCAAACACGGGCCAAATAAACGAGGCATGCGGCCCACAGACTGCTAGTTTGACATGCTTGTTTTAGAGCCTCTATAGCTTATTTCCATTTGCGGTTCCATTAGGTTGGATCAGGTTGATCTGACTTCACTAGGGCATATAGCGGCTGGGCTGTTGATGAAAAGTTTGGAACCCAGTTTCGACAATATCCAGTCCAACCCAGAAGTCCATCTAAGCTGCTTTCTTATTTTTGGAAGAGGGAAAGATAGGATTCCTCTAAGTCTCTCAGGGTTAGTCAGTAGCCATCTTTAGATATGAGATGGCCACGGTATTTTACTTGAGGTAAGCAAAATTGAAGCTTATCCTTTTAAACCTTATGTCCTTTTATAGCTAGCTGCTGCAATAAGTAAATTGTGTCCTTTGGGGAGTCTAGTAATGTCCTATAACTTAAAAGTAAATCACCCACATACTGGATTAGAGTGGAATCTCTAGGAAATTTAACATCATTTAAATCAGCTTTTAATATCTGGGAGAAATAGGTGGGACTTTCTGTGTATCACTTGGGCATTACAGTCCAAGTAAATTGTCAATCTTCCCAGGAGAAGGCAAAGAGATATTGACTGTCTTTTTCTACTGGAATGCTGAAAAAGGCACTACATAAATCTGTTACTGAAAAATATTGGCAGTCCACAGGAATGGTCGATAATAAAGTAGGTGGATTTGGAATCCCAGGATGTCTGGGAATAACTACCCCATCCTTTCCATTTGGTTTCTTTACTGGAAAGATAAAAGAATTACAGGGGCTTGTACATGGAATTATAAGTTCCCCTTCTAAGTAATCTTGTACTAGTATAATGGGCTTAATTCCAGCTAGTGGATCTTACCCTCTCATCTTTGTTGTCCAGTCCCCCAAAGCCCCTGCTCTCTGGCAACCATCATTTGTTCTCTGTGTCTATAAATCTGTTTCAATTTTGTTTATTGATTTTTGTTCTTTAGATTTCACATATAAGCAAAATATAAGCAGATTTATAGTGAGCGATTCTCCTATACGTTCTGCCTCGTAAAAGTGCTTGGAAAGAACATGGGCTTTGGAGACCAATGGACCATGGTCTTAATGCAGCTCCATCACTACTGGCTGTGTGATCTTGGGCGAGTCACCACCTTTCTGAGCCTCCATGTTCTCATTGGTAGAACAGGGTAGGAATGGTCTGTCATTTGGGGTAATGCAACAAGCAGACACCAAGATGGCATTAGATGTGCCAGAGGTCCTTTGGGGACACCTGTGAAGGGAAAGGGGGAGAGGGAGCAGACGGGGGCAGGGACAGCCTTCAGACCTCAGGGCAGGTCAGACGTGTAAGAGGAGAGTGGGAAGAAGGAGCATGAGCAGAAGGAGCCTCAGAACATGGTGTGGGCCCAGCTCACATGACAGCTCAGGGCTCTTTGCCCGTGTCTGTGGGGAGTCCCAGGGCAAAGACTGTCCATCATAGGAAGCTGTGTAATAAACTGCTCCACATCTCACTGTCTTCCAACCAACCATTTCACTATGTTTCATTATTTTTCAAGTCAAAATTTTGGGCAGGGCTCAGCTGGGTGATTCTCTTGCTTTGCGTGTAACGGGTGAGGGTCTGTCTTAGTTTGGGCTGCTGTAACAAAAACACATTGACTGGGGGGCTTAAGCAACAAACATTTAGTCCTTTTAGTTCTGGAGGCTGGGAAGCCCAAGATCAAGGTCCTGGCAGATCTGGCGTCTGGTGAGGGCTCCCTTCTGGCTTGTAGACAGCTGCCTTCTCACTGAGTGCGCACATGCCAGAGAGAGAACACCCTTGTCTCTTTTGTTTTTGTAAGGACACTAGTCCCATCCTGGGGGCTCTGCCCTCATGATCTCATCTAAATGTAACCACCTCCCACAGGCCCATCTGCAGATACCATTCCACTGGGCATTTAGGGTTTCAACATAGGAGTTGGCGGGAGTTGAGGGGAGTGACACAGCCATGTAGTCCAAACAGGTCACGCAGTGGTAGTTAGTGGGCAGCTTGGTCGGGCCTGGACGGTCCCAGATGGCTTCACTCATTTGCCTGGTGGCTTGGCCGGAGTGGCTAGAAGGCTGGGCTCCACTGAGCCCTCTCCATTTATTCTTAGGGCATCTCCACATGGTCTGACTGGTAGGATGGTCTGATTTCTTACATGACAGCTCAGGGCTCAAGAGGGAATGCTCCTAGAGGCCAGAAGTAGACGCTGCAGTCACTTCATCGCTTTCATTGTGTTCCTTTGGTCTTGAACCTGCCCAGGTTCAAGGGGAGGAGACATAGACCCATGTTTCAAAGAGAAAGAGGGGCCTTAAGGAAGCGTGACCATCTGTAACTCAGTATGTATCTCCAGGGTGGTGGCCTATGACATGTTTATAAAGCTCCTGTCGTGGTGACTGGCACAGAGCAGGTGGCCCTCAACCAGGAGCTGCCATTCTCAAGGGTTTCCCATCCTTATAATTACTGCTGCGACTATCCCACCCCCACCCACCCCTCTCACCCTGCAGATGTGTTCTGCCTCCTGAGGGTGCCAGAGAGAGCCAGGCTTAATTAGGGTGAGGCTTTTAGTAATGTGCCTGCCCTCACTTGTCAGCTTCCTGGGAAGTCTCCGTAGACGCCCCTCCCTCCCTGAGGCGCGGGACCACCCATCTCTCTGCAGGTGTGGCCGACCTCAGCTTCGAGGCCGTGAGCCCCCTGGTGCCCCCGGTCGAACTCCTGGAGAGGCTGCCCAGCTATGACTGCCTTTTTCAAGGAGGCGGTAAGTCTGTGGGGTCTTGGTTCCTACGTCCTCTTCCTGGGGCTTCTGTTGGTTGGGGGGACGTCTCTGGAACAGGCCAGTGCTGGGGTAGCTCCCCTTTCCTCTGGGGCCTGGGAAGGCCCTTGTCACCGTTGGGAGGGAATGGGAGGACATGGGCACAAGCCCTGTGTCCACGAGCATCCCGTGACCATGACCCTTTAAGACAGAATGATGCTGATCTGGGAACTGTCATTCTTTTCTCCGGCTGCTCCCCCTCACACTCGGCTCCTCTTTCCTGCTTCCACCACTGGTGTCCGTTCCTTTGAGCGAGCCCTGACTCCTCCCTCTCTTCCAGGGCAGCAGATCTTCTTCCCATCTTTGGAGGCTCCCCGGAGACCCCAGGAACAAACATGCTGGTCCTCGTTCCTGGAACACAGGTGAGCTGCAGGTGTGACCTGGTGACCCTCCCGGAGCCATCACACAGGATCACGGGGGGGTGAACTGCTCCATCACCCTTGTCCCCGAGGGCCCCCCTGGGGGGGTCTCAGGGCCCACAGATCTCAACCCCAACAGCCCATCAGGATCCAGACCTGGATCAGATTCTCCAGGGACAGGGCCTGGGAATCTGTATTTGCCATGCTCTGCAGGCTGCTTGGCTACCAAGCCAGAGTTGAAAACCATACGTAGTTGCAAACCCTGGGGCCAAACCCAGCCCACTGCCTGGTTTTGTGAATCGAGTTTTATGGAACACAGCCCTCTCCTCTGTTTTACTTGCTGCGTTCCCACTGCAACAGCAGAGGTAAGTGGTTGAGACACAGACTAGATGGCCCGCAAAGCCTGAAATATTTACTCTCTGGCTCTTTCCAGAAAAAGCCGGCTGTTCCCTGGAGAGGCCCACGCCCTCCTTGTTTTGTGAGGACTGGGGCAGAGTTCCAAGGTTACGGCCAGCTTTGTGCCCAGAGAGGGGGGAGCCTGGAGCGCCTCCCCTCGGCCACCTCTCCTCCCTGTTGGGAGGGAAAGGGAGGGCATGGGGCACAAGCCTTGCAGCCTGCAGCCTCCCACAGGCAGCCAGGTCCTGGGGCTGGAGACACAATGCACAGGAGAGGGGCTGACCTCGGGAGCTGGGCTGCTGTAGAGAAACGCATGAAGATGTGAGCAGGAGGAAGGAGGAAAGGGCTCCTGCTCACTGGAGAGGTTGGGGCCGGAGGGCTTCCTGGAGGAGGGGACCTGACAGCTGGGCCTCAGGAGAGTTTTGTAGCAGGAGGGGGAGGTGTCCAGAGAGCAGGCCGAGGAGGGTCAGCCTTCCCCTGGCCACGCTCTGGTCCAGCTCACGGTGAGTCACGAGCTGTGGTCGCGCCGTCACTGGTTCCTGGCTGGTTCCTGGCTGTGGTCCTCCCGTGAAGGGGCTCACACCTCCTCTGGTTGAGGTCAAGCTCCCGAGGGCAGGGACCTCACTAGCCCCACCTCCTTAGCTGTGATGCCTTCTCTGGCTGTCCATTTCCTCATCTCAAAATGGCATAATTCATCTTTAAGTATTTTTTTAAAATATATTTTATTGATTTTTTACAGAGAGGAAGGGAGAGAGATAGATAGTTAGAAACATCGATGGGAGAGAAACATCGATCAGCTGCCTCCTGCACATCTCCCACTGGGGATGTGCCCGCAACCCAGGTACATGCCCTTGACCGGAATCGAACCTGGGACCTTTCAGTCCACAGGCCGACGCTCTATCCACTGAGCCAAACCGGTTTCGGCATCTTTAAGTATTTTTTATTTTTATTTCTGAGATTCTATCAACCGACTCCTGAGCTCACACTTGAGCTAACACAGTGTTACTGTCCTACCCCCCTCTCCCTCCCGACATCGGTTCCTATGGACCCCTTTGCTGACACACCCTCCATCGTGGGACTCCCAAGTACTTTCCCGCCCTGGGGGCCAGTGAGGGCCTCCCCAGACCCCTGCATCTCTGCTCCATCCCCAGCAGAGTCCCTGTGTGACAGAGGAGGTGGCGCGTGAAGCCCTCCTCAGCTTCGTGAGCTCCAATGCTGCTATGGCCGCTCAGCCGCCAGCGACCTGGTCATCCAGCAGATGAAGCAACAGATGCTGTGCCGGGTAAGGAGCTGGCCTGGGGGGCCGTGTGCAGGGTAAGGGACCAGCCTGGGGGGCCGTGTGCAGGGTAAGGGGCGGTCATGTGCAGGGTAAGGGGCTTGCCTGGGGGCCGTGTGCATGGTAGGAGCCGGCCTGGCAGGGACTGGTTAGGGCAGGGATCTGGGGAAACAGGCCTCTGTGTAGCTGTGTGGCCTTGGGCAAGTCCACTGACTTCCCTGGGTCTCCGTTTCCTCACGTGAGAAAGGAGGAGCCAGGTGATGTCCACAATACCTTTCCAGTGTGTGATTCTGTGGACGAGGATCAAGAAGGATCATGGGTTCAGGCAGATCAGTTCCTCCAGGGGGGACCCTCAGGGCAGTGGATTCCAGGGGCCTCCATCTGTCAGAAGGCAATTGCTGCTCCAAAACTTGCCTCATAGAACATTCCTCGTATAAAGAAATGGGGATCGGAAATCACCCCGTTGTGAGCCTGTCAGGGAGATTCCCTGGGCCCACTGACCTCCCTGCCGACCTGCCGGGGCAGCTGGGACAGAAGTTGCTGGTGGCAGCCTGGTCTGAGCAGCCCCTGTGCGGTGTGTGGGACCCCTGGTTTCCCCACTTTTTGCACAATGCGCCGTATTCCTACGGCCAGGAGTGTGTGGGTGGACATGATATCTTTTTCTCTACAGTATCGACTGGAGACTTTCAGCGAGTCCAGGATAAGCGAATGGACGTTTCAGCCCTTTACTAGTGAGTTGTCTGAAACGAGTGTCACTGGGAGCAAGTCTGGCAGGAGCTAGTCTGAGCACTAACCTGGAAGGAGATGCTCTTCAGCTCGAGCCTCGGTTTCCCCGTCCCCTGTAAAATGAGAGGGAGGGCTTTCGTGGCAGAGGCTTACTTCCCCGTGCTGGTCTTAGCACTGCTTGCTGTGCAGAAAGCGGTTAGCAGAAGGTCCTGAGAAAGCCTTGCATTCGCCTTGGGCCACAGGCTGGTGCTGCCACGGGGGAGATGGCACGGGCAGCGTGTGTGCTCGGGCGTCTGCTGCCCCCCAGGCTGCCCCAGGTCCCCGTTCACTGAGCCAGCCCGCCTCCTGCCGACCCCGCTGAGGCTCTGGGTTCTGTCTGGGACACCCACACCCTACCTGTTTCCTCTGCTGGCCCCTTTGTTTCATCCCTCGAGACTCAGCTCACAAGTTGCCTCTTTTATGAAGCCTTTCAGCATTTCTCCTCTCACCACTTTGGTCCCCAGCAGAATGAGTCAGTCGTCTGGGATTTCGGAGCCCTTAATGCGATTCTTGGCCAAAGTGCTCACCCTCGGGTTTAGCTGTATCTGTTCCCTTGAACAGAAGAGGAAGAAGCCGGTGGGGAGGAGACGATAGTGGTGATAGCTCTTGTGTATTGCGCCCCAGCATGTGCTGGCCTTGTGCTAGCACGTAGATGCCGTCTGTGTAACGGTCACTGCCATCCCCTGTGGTAAGTGAAAAATTATCCCCATTTTAGAGATGAGACCATTGAAGGTCTGAGAGGTTAGGTAACGTGTCTAGTGTTACCCAGCCAGGAAGTAGAAGAACCAGGAGTCAAACCCAAGACCCTTCAACCCCAAAGCTTGGGTGCTTCACTACGAACTCCAGGGGGGCCCGTATCTACCCCTCCTGGTAGCGCTGGTCTAGCCTGTGCCTGGCACCAAGGGAAGGCTCGTGCTGTTCGGTGACTAAATGAAAGCTTGTCCTGGCCGCTGTCTGCTGTCTTACGACGCTCGCTTCTGTGTCAGACCACGCAGTCGATGGGCCGAGAAGAGGGACCTCCCCCCAGCTCTGGGACATCAAGGTCCAGGTTCCCCCGATGTTCCAGGAGGAGACCAGGAAGTTCCAGGTCCCTCACTCGTCACTGGTCAAGGTAACACGATTATCGTCATACCTGCTTCTCCCGAGCTGGTTTCCCAGAGACTGGGTTTCCTGAAACATGAGCCTTCTGGAAAGGAAACCCCCAACCCGGCTGCTGGTTTATTTCTTGGCTGTCTGTTCACACAGCAGAAGAACGGTCCCATTGACAGAAATTGTCTCCAGCTTTAAATAGTGAGCATTCACATTCCTACACCCTCGGAGTGTTTGTCCGCCCCCCGCCCCACCCCCTTTGGCCTGACAGTAAACGGATGGAAGTTAGCAGGGGAACAGGATTTAACTTCCCTCCTGTTTCACAGGCACTTACTCATGCCACGAAGCAAGGGTAACCTAACACACGACAGGAGCACGGCTGAGACCCTTCCTGTGGTGTCTCAGCTGATCACCTGTCTTGTCTCCATGCGGACCTGGAGTCGAGCCTGTGGTTTGCCCCGTGTGTGTTCCTAGCGCTGTGAGGTGGAGGACGCTGTGAGCTAGCTCAACGGAGTGCTCCGTTCTTTTCAGCAGTGATTAAATTCCAGTAGCTAGCTCGGTGCTGTTCACAAAAATGCTGTCCATTTTTACGGCTCCTGTTCCCAGAGCCCCCTTTGCCACTCAGTGGGCGAAGGACCCCGGCCTTTGTGGCTCAGCCTGGGCGTGAGTTAGGACGTGGGACTGGGAGAGCAAGTGCCCTTCACAGCACCCAGGACAGACCCGGCGGGGCTCTGAGGATCTCCTGGGCTTGGCATTCAAGGCCCCTGGGAATCCTGGTCAGTGGGCAAGGCCATCTTCTCCCTCTGGCTCTGAATGGCGGCACCTCTGTTTGGGATGGTGACATGGGGGCGGGGGCGGGGGTGGAGGTGGTGAAACGGCAGGTGACTGAGAAACTGGATCCAAGGAAAGTGTTTCTCCCTCAGGAATGCCACAAGTGCCACGGGCGGGGACGCTACAAGTGCAGCGGCTGCCACGGGGCCTGCATGGTGAGTCTTATGTGGCCGATGGTAAGTGTCGTGTGGGCGGAGGAGCTCTCCAGGGGCAGAGGGCTGGGCTGGGGGCCTAACAGTGGCCCCCCCAGGCAAGTCATTCCCCCTGGATGGACCTCCGTTTTCCCACCTGTACAATGGGAAGGTTGGATTGGGTGGTCTCTATTGGCCTTTTTCACTTTGGTGATTTATGATTTTAAATTTGCTCTTTTTTTCTCATCCATCTATGAGCATTCATTGAGTACCTGCTTGGCACTAGGCCCAACAAGAGGACTAAGGCCTGGGTCCTTCCCACCAGGCCTCCCTGCTGTGGGAGAGGCACAGTGACTGGCACTCGTAGTACAGAGTGATGGGAGCCGAGAAGGTCACGTTCATAGGGCTTCCAGTTTCCGAGGGCGACTGTAATAGATCACCACCAACTGGGTGCCTCAGGCATTTGTTCTCTCACAGTCCTGGGGGCTGGAAGCCCAGCATCAGGGTGTCAGCGGGGCGGTCCCTTCTGGAGGCTCTGAGCTCTGGGCAGCTGCTGGCACTCCTGGGTCCTTGACTAGTGGCCCCATCCCTCCAATCTCCATCTCCGTCCTCCATGGCCATCACCCTGTGTGTCTCTCTGTCCTCCTGGCCTCCTTATAAAGACACTGGTATTGGATTAGGGCCCACCTAGTCCAGGATGACCTCTCTTAACTAATTAGTCTGCAAAGACTAGTTCCGAATGAGGTCACATTCTGAGGCTCTGTTGGGTGTACATTTTGGTGGGGGAGAGGTGGGACACTGTTCCACCCCGGACAGGCCCCTAAGCACACAGCCAGGCTCTGGTGGCATCAGCCTTCTTTGTGTACACTTCCAGGGCTACTAATGGTCCCAGGAGTCGGACCAAGCTCCTCACGTGTTCTCAGCTCTCCCATTTACACCTAATCCTCTGGGCACATGCTGACCACTGTCACTCTGAGCTGTGTCTCCCTCCACCCTCCCTCTGCCCGCCTGCCACTCCACCCCGTTGCTGCCCTCCTTCTGCCTGCTGTGTGCTCACTCCTCTGCCCGCCTGAGCACCGTGTGGGGCCAGCTGTGGCCACACCTGCCCAGCCTATTCTGTGCCTTCACTCCTGCTGTTCACCTCCTCCCTGAGGTCATTTCTGTGCCTTCCTCCATCCCTGCTCCTCTGCTCCTCCCCCTCCTCTCTCAGGCTCCCCCTGGAATGTCCCTGGCGCCCACTCTGAGCCACCTTGGGAGCGTTGCCTGAGTCACCTCTGGGGGCCTCTCCAAGATGAGACCTCATGTCCAACGCCAGCTCCCTCGGCCAGCCCGCCCCTCTCCCTGCTCCCTCTGGCCATGGCTGCTTGGTTAGGGGACAGTCCCTGGGATCATGGGGATTAGTGAGGAGCAGGAGAGGCTGCTGCCCCAGGGATGGAGGATGTAGAGCCCCTGAAAGCCTCTGGAGGGGTCCTAAGATACACTCCGTCCCACCCTCCCATTTTCCAGGGGGAGGGGTGGAGGCCCAGGGAGAGGAAGGGGCTGCTCAAAGTCACCAGACAGGGAGTTGACCACGTCTGGGATGCTCTCTGCCCCACTTCCCTGCGCGGCCAGTGGTACTGAGGCCTGTGTGTCCGCAGGTGAGGTGCCCCTCCTGCAGCGGAGCCAAGCGCAGAGCCAAGCAGCCTGGGAGGTGCCAGCTGTGCTCGGGGTCGGGCAGGCACAGGTAGGAGCAGGTCTCCCTGGCTTTTCACTGTCTGCCCTTTTGGAAGGCGACCAGGCACCCTGTCTGCCTTGTCACTCCTGTGTCCCAAGGCTCTGTGAATAGTGGGTGCTGATACATATCTGTGGAGCGGTGGGCTTTTCTTGAGAGAGGCCTGATATTTCTGGACAAGACTGGAACTCATCATGCAATGGGTCAGGGAAGGAGGAGGAAAGGAAGGAAGGAGACCTGTTCCTGCTCACGTCGGAGGTGGGGGGAGTGGACACAGAGAAGCAGCCAAAGCTGAGATTCTTAACTCTCTGAGGGCCTGCGAATGGAGGAGTCCAGGAAGGTTGGTTGATTGACTAAACAACCAGCAAAGTTGCATCTCTGCTCACAGGGCTTTGCAGATAGCAGGGCATTGCATTTTGTAAATCGGGGCCTTTACTGTATTTATAAATCTTTAAAGGGAAACAGAAAAGCATGAGGAGTGAAATTATTCAAACATGTGTTGGTTGAAGATGCTTTTAGCTCATTAAGGCCCTGGCCGTCCTTCTAACAAGCCAGATGGTGAAGCTTTAGTTGACCTGCCCCCTGTGACTAGTATAGAAGGTTTTTGATGGGGAAAGAAACTCAGGTTTCTTTCATTTACAAGTGAAAGAAATCCAGTTCAAACTGGCTTCAGCAAAAACGTAAATGTATAGTCCTACCGAACAGAAACGTCCAGGAATAGATTTCTGGGAAGGCTTCAGGTACAGCTGGATCCAGGTGCTTAAACAGTCTCATCGGGAATCTGTCTCTACTCCGCACTATGCTTTCCTTTGTGATGGCTTTAGTCTCAGGCAAGCTGTCTCTTGTTGTGGCAGAGGGGACCATCAACAGCTCCACGCTTAGTAACCGCGTTAGGAAAGGATGTCCCTTTTCTGAAAGTCCCCACAAAAGTTCTAGGGTGGCTCTCATGGCATTTCCCTGGATCATGTGCCCATCTTTGTATCAGCCACTGTGGCCAGGGAGATGGACAAAGCTGGTCATAGAAGGGTGGGCAAGCCCAAGAACCCTAGAGACGGGGTGGGAGAAGGGTGGTCTCCACAGGGAATTGGGGCACTGCCACTGGAAGAAAGAGGTCTGAATGGTGGGACGGTAGAAACAGTCCCCCTCCATGAACAAGGATTTGGGGTGGGGCCCCAGCAGCCACCAGGGCCTAGGAGCGTCTGAGTGGTACTGACGCTGTGTCCCTCTCAGGTGCAGCACGTGCTCGGGGAGGGGGAACAAGACCTGTGCCACCTGCAAGGGGGAAAAGAAGCTGCTGCACTTTGTCCAGCTGGTCATCGTGTGGTACGTGGCGGTGTCTCCGTGCGTGGCCCTGTGGCGGTAGCTGGGGCACGTGGCCTGGACTGGTTTCTGCAGAGAAACCACGTGGTTGGGGCTTTTGTACACAGTACAGGGATCCACGGGCGGGAATCTCCCAAGAAAGGTGAAAGAGATCCCTGGGAAGAGGCGGCAGGGGTGGTGGGCTGCTGGCGGGCTTTAGAACGGACCGACTTCACATTCCGACATCACCACTTCCTAGTGCCGCAGCCTCTCAACACCTGGCGTCCCCGTCTGTGTCCTAAATCCCCAGGTCGGGGAAGGCTCCAGGCCTTAAAGGGTTCTCCTGGTGGGCACTTTGCTAGGCCTGCACAGGGAAGGATAAGGTGAGCTGTGGGTACTGCCTGGTTTCCCAGTTCACAGCTTGACGTGCTGGGCCCAGGGAGGTCAAGACCTTCCCCAGGTCCCCGCAGCCCAGGCCTGCCTGATCCCACACCCACGTTCTTGCCGCCCCCTGCTCTTCACCTGCAGGAAGAACAGCCTGTTTGAGTTTGTGTCCGAGCACCGGCTGAACTGCCCCGGGCAGCTCCTAGCTAAAGCCAAAGGAGAGAACCTCTTCAAGGATGAGAACACGACGGTAAGGAGGGTTTGCAAGCACCACACCAAGCTACGCGCCTCTTCTGGCTCTTCTGGCTCTCTGTGGGCGCTGCATTCATTTAGAACAGGGTGGGCACGTCCAGCCCTCGGGCCCTTTACGGCCCGTGAAATCATGTGGTCTGGCCCTGCCCAGGCATTAGGGGTGAGTTAGTTAAATGTTTGCCCTAATACAGCAGGCTAATTTTTAAGTTGGTAATTCTGTATGGCCCTCGAATAATGTTATAAATATCCAATGGCCCTCGGCAGAAAAGAGGTGCCCCACCCCTGCTCTAGAAGGGCAGGCTGGGAGGGAAGAGAGCAGCCTGGTCAGGCCAGAGGCCTCGGGCACCCCACAGGGCCAGGCCTCCTTGAATGTCACATACCAGACCCTTCCTCCCTTTTCCCTTCCTCCCTCTTCCTCCCTCTCTCCACAACCTTGGGGACCCCCCCCCCTCCTGGGTGCTGGGGATACTGTCCAGCAACATCCTTGCCTCGTAGATGTCATAGTCTGGGGAGGGAGAGATGGTAACATGCACCACAGTGTCAGAAGGCAGCAAGGGTCACTGAGAAACATGCAGCCAGGTGAGGAGACCGGATGGGTAGGTGTTGTTTCAGCACTGGGGGTCGGGGGCGGGACAGGGAGGTGACAGTGGCGGGGGGGGGGGGGGCGGGAGAGATCAGGTGTCCGGCAGAGGGAACAGTTCACAGAGGCCTTGCAGAGCGGCAGGGCAGGGGCTCTGGAGGGCAGAGAGCCAGGTGGAGTGAGGAGCTAGGACACGAGCTGTGCCAGCAGCCAGGTCAGGGAGGGCCCTGTTGGCCAGGGGCTGTCAAACTCCAGGCCCTCGTTTAATAATAACATTTATAAATAAAGTTTTATTGGAACATAGCCATGCCGGCTGGTTTAGGTATTGTCTGTGGCTGGCTTTGTGCTGTGAGGTCAGAGTCAAGTACAGCGAGGCCTTGACTTACCCGTGTCCCGACTAACGAGTTTTTTGAGATACCAGCTGTCTCTCGGCCGATTTTTGCATTGAGTTGACAGAGTAATTTGAGTTAACAAGCTCCTTAACGAGCTTCTTAATGAGCTCGGTCTCGGAACGAATTAAACTCGTAAGTCAAGGCTCCACTGTAGTGGGGACAGAGGGCGATGGCCCACAGAGCCTGCAGTATACGCGACGTGGCCCTTTCCTGTGGGCCTTGGCAGGAGCTCAGCCGCGTGGGGGGCCTGAGCGGGGTCCTCGTGCTGTTTGCTCTGAGAGGGTCAGGTGCTCAGCCTCCTTTTATTTCTTTTTTCTTTGTTTCTCTCTTCTTTACAGTATTGTGACCTTTTTAGATTGGCTTCTTTCACTCTGCCATATGCATTTTTAAAAGTTGAGATATAATTGACATATATCATTAGATTAGCTTTTAGGTGTTCAACACAATGATTGGATATATGTACATATTGTGAAATGATCGCCATGAGAAGTCCAATTAACATTGGTCACTATACATAGTTACATAATATCTTTATCTTGTAATGAGAACTTTTAAGATCTGTTCTCTCAGCAGCTTTCATATATCCAACACAGCATTATTTACTACAGTCATTACATTGTTTGTAGTAATGTAGTCATTTACTACATTATTTACTACACTGTTCATTACATCCCTGGGACTCAAGTTTGTGTCTCTTGACCTCCCCTCACCCCCTTTCTCCACCCCTCACCCGCCTCTGGCAACCATCAATCTGTCCTCTGTATCTGTGAGTTTGGTTGCTTTGCTCATTAGATTCCACATACAAGTGAGAACATATGGTATTTGTCTTTCTGTCTGACTTCACTTGGCACAATCCCCTCAAGGCGGAAATGCCAGGTCTTCCTTCTTTCTAGGGCTGAGCAGTATTTCTCAGCCTCTTTCTCTGCCTCATCGCTGCCTTTCCTTCAGGCTCCTGGCAGGCGCCATCCCTCTAGGACAGTGGTTCTCAACCGTGGCTGCACATTAGAATCACCTGGGAATCTTTTTAAAATCCTGATTTCTGGGCCTCATCCTCCGGAATTGTTTCTTTGTTACTAATGTTGTGGCCCCACCCCATAACAAAGAAACAGAGTTTCCGGAGGATGAGGCCCAGAAATCAGGATTTTAAAAAGATTCCCAGGTGATTCTGATGTGCAGCCAAGGTTGAGAACCACTGCCCTAGGAACGGCACGCCCCGCCTCAGGCAGCCTCAGGGGCTTGCTGGGGACCAGCGGGCTGCGGCGAGGAGTACTGTGTCTACAGCTCCCTGTCGGTGGCATTCCCAACAGAATGTGGGTCCTCAAGGGTCCCCAGGCTTCAGCCACCCCACCCGCTTGCTGCCTGGCCTCCCTCGGGCCCTTCCCAATTGGGCCCTTCCCGTCCACCTGAAGTCCATTGCCAGGGCTCCAGGTGCTGGCACTTGGTCAGAGCAGCGAGGCGGTGCGTCTCTCCTCAGGTGTACCCCTGGCGGACTTCCCGCTGCGGGAGATCTCGCTGGCCTCCCAGCGGGGCATCGCCCAGCACAGCGCCGCCACCCTGGCCTCCAGAGCCCGCGTCCTTCAGCAGGTGAGCGGGCGGGGCCGGGGCTGCTTCTGGGGCCAGGCGGGGGCTCCTGGGTCCCATAAGGGAGGAAAGGGATGTTCCCTCTGCCGGGGGCTCCTTCCTGAGAAGGCAGAGAGGGAGGGTGGCAGGGGAGTCCCAGTCTGAGGAACACGAGGTGGACTGGGGACTGAGCTGGGGCCAGTGTGGCCGGGGGCAGCGAGCGGGACAGGACATACAGTCCATGGTGACAGGTTTGGATTGTTATCCTGACAGGAAGCTATTGCAGGGTTTCAAGCAGGCTGTAGCTCAGTGTGATTTTGATCCAAACCTGCCCGATATTCAGAGGGGAAGGGAAATCTCAAATCCAGGGTGGTAGGCAGGGTGGGAACCCAGTGCCCTGCCCCTCAGGGCATTTCCCAAGTCCCAGCCTGTCTTCCCCAAGCCTCCCCGAGCAGGGGTGGCGGCCAGGGCTAGGGTTGCCTTGGTGCTGAATCCCAGTAGCCACTAGGTGGCAGTGGTGCCGTCCACATCCCCAGGGCTAGGGTTGCCTTGGTGCTGTATCCCAGTGGCCAGAAGATGGCAGTGGTGCCCGGCGTGCTTTCGAGGCAGCTGGCTGGAAGCTGCTGGAGGGAGGGTGGGGGTTTGGACAGGGAATGCCCAGCGCCAGTTCTGTGTAGGGGATTGTTAGGGGGGCCTGAGTCTTGCAGAGTGTGCTCAGATCCTGGTTCTTTTGCATCCTAACCTGGCCATGGCCACCTACTTCCTCCTCTTTGAAGTTGAGTTTCTCACCTGTGGAAAAAGAAATGCTAAAATGGCCTCATGGAGGTTTATAAGGATGAGACAACTTTCTTTTTCTTTTTAAAAAATTGTATTAAATTTATTGGAATGACTCGTTAATAAGGTTATCTAGGTTTCCAGTGTACAATTCTAAATACATCTGTATATTGATTGCATTGTATGCTCACCACCCAGTCTAGTCTCCTTCCATCACCATGTATTTGATCATCTTTACCCTCTTCAACCTCCCCCTCCCCCTTCCCCTCTGATCATCACCATACTGTTGTTTGTGTCTGTGAGTTTTTTATTTGTTGATTTCAGTTTTATATCCCACATATGAGTGAAATCATGTGGCTCTTGACTTTTTCCACCGACTTTTTACGCTTATCATGATGTTCTCAAGATCTATCCATGTGGTCGCAAATGGCAGTATTTCATCTTTTCTTATGGCTGAGTAGTATTTCGTGTACATGCACCATCTTCTTTATCCAGTCATCTATCAAAGGGCACGTTGGTCATCTCCATGTCTTGGCCACCGTGAATAACCTTCTGTACCAAAATGTCAAGGGAGGTCTTTTATTTCCAAAGTTATCAGTTGGAGACCAGCTTCTGGCATATGGAGAAATCTCAGTCTCACAGTCTCATTTGGTCGTCTCAGCAACTCGGTGACAGAGAAGTTTTATTCCCATTTCACAGATGAGGAAACTGAGGCCCAGATAAAGGAAGTGTGAGATCCCACAGAAAGCTTCGTGGAAAACGCACACCCTGACTCTGATCCCCTTCTGCCGCAATGTCATGCCTCCCCTCGCTTCCCCCCAGTGTAGTGGGGAGCATTTTCTCAACCCTCCCTCCCCCAGCCTGTTTCACCCTTTCCCCAGGGCCCTGAACCACTACCTACAGCAACAGGACTTGGGCTCTTTACTTAAGGAGGGAAGTAAGAGGGCCTGATCCTGGGCCAGCCACGCCACCTCCCTCTGGGTTTGAGATCCCCAAACCTGAGTGTTGGGCAGGGGAAGAGCCAGTGCGGAAGGACTTAGGGGTTCTGACATAAAGCCTGGCCCGCAGGATGTCCCCAGGAACGCTTCGCTTCAATGACCAGGGTGACGGTGCTGGGTCAGCCACATCTGCAGTTGTCATAACAAAACAGCCCCAGAAGCTAATGGGGGTGGGTCCCCAGAGGGAGGCCAGCGTCCTCACCCAGGGCGGTGGCTTGTCCCATTCAGGACCCCTCCATTTTGGAAGGTTGTTGAGTCACTGATCAGAGAAGGGGCAGAGAATGAGGGGCTTTAGGGCCACGCTGTCGGAGGGAGTGTCCCAGGCTCTAGGTAGAGGAGGATGCTGCGGAGAGATGTGAGCGTGAACAGGTCCAGCTATGGCGAGGAGATGGGGCTTCACCTCAGATCTTCCAAACCGGAAATCCCATGAGCCCGTGGGCCTCAGTTTCCCCATTTGTAAAAGGAGGGGAATATTTGAGACTTTTCTCAAAGGAGGGTCGATGCAAAACCATGGTAAGAGAGGGCGGGGTCTGAGAAAATAGCCTGAAACAGCCTACCAAACTTTGGAGTTTCTTTGGTGTCAATGTTTATCTTGAAATGCAATTCAGATTGTATAATCCACTCCCTAATCTGTCCATGGCTGTTGTAATATAAAAATGTTTAAAATGACTTTATCCTCTACTTTTCTCCCCCCACCCCACCCCCATCTGAAATTAATGTCCTGGAAGATGTCCCATTCGGCAGTGACTCTCTGTGCATCTCATTCCTCCCCCGGGGATGCCTGTGCCTCCACTGCATGGAACCTAGAGTCAGAGGGTTCGGTTTGGGCCTGAGCTTAGCGTTGATGTAGGATGTAGTGGGAGATACAGCTAGAAAGGCAGATTTCCGCCAAAATGCCGACTCCAGAGCAAGGACTGCAGCCCACAGGTGGTAGGGAGCCCCCGGCAGCTCTTGGACAGGAGAGCGACTTGGGCAGGACACTGAGGTTTTTCCCGGCCAATTGTTTCCTCAGCGCCAGACCATCGAGCTGGTCCCCCTCACAGAAGTGCATTACTGGTACCAGGGGAAGACAAACGTCTACTACATCTACGGCACCGACCACAGAGTGTATGTGGCGGACTACCCCGAGCGGTACTGCTGCAGCTGCACCATCATTTGACCGGCTCGGCTCGGCTCGGCTCTCCCCTCCGCCCGCCACTCACCAGGGAGGGCCACCGAGGCTCTGAGCTCACGCATCATTGGCTTCATTGGACAGTCGCTTACCAACGCTGGCGTGTCTATCCTAGAAAATTCACCTTACCATCTGCCAAGCACAGGTCGTTCCGGAACTCCTCTGCTGGACTCCGTCCTGTGTTTAACCTGCAAGAATTCAACTCCACACATTCCTTTCGGACAAACAAAGCGAAGGCAATGCCTGACTGCGTGGGGGGTTTGCTTTTGCTTCTCCCTGGGTCAGGCATTCCTCTTCTAGGGCGAGCCTTGGCCAAGCTGAGTGTCACTGACACGTTTAAAGATGCACACGAATCGGCTGCCCCTGCACGCACACCAAGGAGTGCACTTAGGCACGAAGTACCTTTACATCCTAGAACTTGACTTCCCATCTGTGGGGCAGGAATTCAGACATGGCCATCATGGGGATGGTTTATCTCTGCCGCATGATGTCTGGGGCCTCACCTGGAAGACTTGAAGGCTGCGATGGCTCAAGGGCAGGGGGCTGAAGTCACCTGAAGGCTGGTCACCAGAGATCTGGTGGTTGACGTGGCTGTTGGCTGGGACCTTCGCTGGGCTGTCAGCTGGAGCACCTACACGCGGCCACTCTGCAGCCTGGGCTTCCTCACAACACGGCTGCTGTAAGGCTCGGTGCCCCTCACAGGTGCCCCGACGGAAGAAAGTCTGTTCCCAAAGGGGAGAACAAACCTGCTGTGTTGGATGGACGGAGGGTCTACATGCTGATCTCTAACATGTGCCTCTGCGGGGGCAGATTTGGGAGAGTGGTTTTTGGATATACTAGTAAGGAGGTTCTTACGTCATGTGCCGACTTTAGAACCCGTCCACTGAGCGGCACATGTGCACCCATCACGTGCAGGAGCTCCCAGCTGGTGCAGCAGGCGGGGTGGGTAGAGGGGTGCCCTGCACACTGAAAGCCCAGTCGGCTTTGGGAGGGTGTGGGGGCTGGGCAGGCCACTGTGCACCTGGCTGTGGGTAACCAGAGGCCCCTGTCATGTTTCCACACCTGCCCCTGACCTGGAAGGGGATTGCAAGCTCCTGTCCTCAGCCCTTGTCCCCCACTGGGGTGGGAGGACGTGGACCCAGCAGGCCTGGTTGGAGAGGCCATTCCCAGGGCATCATCATCCAGTGATAGGCAAATGGGCACTGCCTTCTCACCCGCCACTCCCAGGCCTGGCTCCCAGCCTTCTGCTCAGGGTGTTGCTGTTTCCTGTACTCTGGGGGGCTGGCTAACAGGAGGAGCAGGGCTCAGGGGAGGGCTGCAGGGAGGCAAGGGAAAGTTGATCTGACCCCAGAGCCCAGCAAACCTTCCAGGATCAGATGCTGCCCTCAGCCAGTGCCACAGGCTCTGCATGTGGGGGAGGTCAAGGCAGGATGAGGTGCTCCCATAGATTGTGGGTACACTCTGGACTGTGGGGACAGAGCCTGGTGGTGGCAGGGGAGACAGGGAGGGTTCCCCCAGGCTTCCCACCTCCTTTTCCCCGGAAGCCCGGAAGCTCTGTGTGCTCTGCCTGGAGGTTCTGGCTCCGGCCGATAGGGAGGCCAGCCCCCCTTCCCTGGTGTCCCCACCCCACCTTCCTGGGCTCAGAGGGGGTGCTTGTGCCCCAAGGGGCCTGTACAAATGGAGGGGACGGCTGTCATGATTAGAAGTGACACTGTTGGCGCTTGGTGGCTGGAGTCCAGGAGAGCTGATGTCCCTGGGCCGAGGACCCCCCACGATGAAGCGCCTCTCCACATCTCACAGGACTTGCAGAAATCCCACGACATTCGTGCCGAACTTGGTCAGACAGACTCTCATCAATCACCCCTGAACACAAGGCGATGTTTATGTAGAACCAACCTCTTTGGTTTTCCTGTCTCGTATGAAATGGCTTCTGATCCTCTCCCTGCCCTTCAGTCCACACCTGTAGCTGATGCCGTCACGGGCGTCCCATGCTCTGCGCCTGCGCACCCACAGACTGAAATACACATGTTGAAAACCGCCTTCTCTCTTCTCCTTTATCGTTCACTTCGGGCATTCAATTGCCTTTTTAAAAAATGGTGTGTAAATGGTACATTATGTCACAGTATATCACATGCAAATGATACATGCATGTCATTTCAGGATAAATAGGGACCATGCTATACGGTTGAGGCCCTGCGGGTCGTACACACTGTTGGCCTGTGACCCAATGAGGAAATCTAGCAGGAATGAGTGGGTCCAAAGGGACGCTGTTCCAATGGAGGCCCCGGGAGCCACAGCCACAGGCCCCTCAGTCCCCACGGTCCCGGCCAAGTCCCAGCGGACCCTGGTCCTCTGGTGGATAACCGGTGTGTGTTCCCCTCCGTGTTCTCTGCTTTATGCCTTTGCTGCAGCCGGGATATGACTTACCTGCTATTGCTGCCTCCCCTATCCTAGGACTGAGCTGGCTCTGACTGTGTAGCCCAGACCCAGCCAATGTTGTGGGGGGTAGAGAGAGCGCACGAGGGCAGCCCTCACCCCAAAACTGGCCACCACAGATGTGGCTCTGCCCCCAATTCGACTTTGTTTTAGAACATCAGACGCAAGTGCTCGCTTTTTCTTTGTCGCCCTGCTGAGCAGTCGCTGGCTGTCCCCTGGGCGCCAGAGTCATGCTGGGCTTAGTGGTTCGCAGAGGGCTGACGTCTCTGCCCGGAGGCCACAGGGCAGCATGTATGCAGAGAAGGAAGGAGTCACCGGGAATTGGGGAGCTTTACAACATGAGAATGCCTCAGGCCCAAGTTGGTGGTGACGGCTACAAGTGTATGTATGTATGTGCATGTGTGTATATGTGTGTGCATGGCATGTGTGCATGCACACTGTAAATGTGTGTGTACATGCTTGCGCACACATGGTGAATATGTGTATATGTGCGCATGCACATGTACATGTGTGCACATTTGTGCATCCACGGTGTATGTGTGTGTGCATATGTGTGTTTGTATATGTATGTGTGTGCATGGTGTGCATGCATGGTGTGTGTGTATATCTGTGTGTACATGGGGTATGTGTGTGCTTGCCAGGTGGGGAGCATCACTACTCAGAAGGCAGGAGGACTTCCTCCCCGTTTCCTCCCCTTTACGGGCCCCCCTCATTGTTGGTATTCCCAACGCTCCAGCCTGCAGCACGCGCTCAGCCACGGCCGGCTTTCCTTTCTAGTTCACATGCAGCCCTTGCCACGAAGGGTGAGGAGAGAACTGTGTTTTTTTTTCATGGTTGAGACAAACACCCCAAGTGGAATTATGTTTCCCAGCAGGGAAGAACCTTCTAGATGCCACTTCTTGGCCCTGACGGCTTGTGCTCAGAATCCCAATCTCTTTTTGCTTCTATTTAATGGTCGGGGCCTGTGGGAAGAGCATGGAGTGGAGAGCATGTGTACTCTGGCTCCAATGCCGGCCTTGCTGATGCCCAGCTGTGTGACACCGGGCAATTCTGGTAACCTCACTGAGCCTCAGTTTCTCCATCTGTGAGAGAATGGGCTGACCCTGCTTGCTTTGCAGGGTAGAAAAGATCAAAGGAGATCAGGTGCGGGCTCAGAGTCAGTAGGAGCTCAGCACCTGGGAAGGCTGTCCCTCCCTCCCTCCTTCCCTCCCTCACTCCCTCCCTCCCTCCCTCCCTCCCTCCATCCCTCCCTCCCTCCTTCCTTCCTTCCTTCCTTCCTTCCTTCCTTCCTGCCTACCTTCCTTCCTGCCTGCCTTCCTACCATCTTCCTTTCCTTCCTTCCTTCCTCCATCCCTCCTTCCCTCCCTCCCTCCCTCCCTCCCTCCTTCCTTCCTTCCTTCCTTCCTTCCTTCCTTCCTTCCTTCCTTCCTTCCTTCCTTCCTTCCATCTTTCCTTCCTTCCTTCCTTCCTTCCTTCCTTCCTTCCTTCCTTCCTTCCTTCCTTCCTTCCTCCCTTTTGAGTTAAGCCTTTGACATGACCTTATTTTCTGATGGAGTGTTTCTCAAAGTGAAGAAGGCACTGTAGAAATGTGTTGGGTTACTCTGGGTATTCTTCCTGTACTCTGTCTGGAGCAGAAGGGCCCTGGAGCATCCAGATTTGGGGTTCTCTCCCTCTACCCCGGTCCCCAGTGAGGGGGGGTGTTGCCACCTGTCTGCATGTTCAAGTCTGGGTGTTTCCTGGCTTTGCCCCTCCAGCTAGCGGAACTGAAGTTTCCAGCTAAAAGAAAGGTGTGGCCTGGGCATGAGGAGCTGGTTAGTCTTTAAGCCAAAGTTAGTCACTGTCGGTTTAGTGACAGTTTCTGTTCTGTGAGTGGACAGTCAGGCAGGACTAAGGGGTCTGGGACACTCTGTGGGGGAGATGGTGCAGCCTGGTACAAAGCCACACGGTGTGGCCTCCGTGGCCACAGTCTGGGGTGACATCCCGGCTCAATGGCAGTGTGCCCGGAGACTCACCTGTGAACAGGAGCGATGGCTGCTAGGATTGTGGGCGACGAAATGACAGCGTATGTGGTGAGCATGGCACACGAGTTCACGAGAGAGCTGAGCTGTGGTAGGTGAGGGGACCCAGGGAGGGGCAGATGTTGGGAGGAAGATATCAGACTCAGCATTTGGGGAAGGAGGGTGTTACAGACTGAACGTCGTGTCCCCCAAAATGTATGTTCATATTCTAACCCCTGATGTGATGGAATTGGGAGGTGGGGCCTTTGGGAGGTGCTTAGGTCATGTGAGCAGAGCCCTCCTAAGTGGGATCAGTGCCCTTATGAATGGGACCCCAGGGAGCTCCCTCGGTGTGAGGGTCTGGTGAGGAGATGGCCGTCGGTGAGCTGAGACTCGGGCCCACACCAGACACCAAGTCTGCAGGGTGCCTTGATCTTGGACTTCCGGCCTCCAGACTGGGGGACAGAAATTTCTCATTTGTAAGCCACCAGGTCTGTGGTCTTCCATCATGACAGCCCGAGCAGCCCCAGAGCGTGGAGGCCGAGACTCCGAGGC